CAAGACAATGATCCAAAACACAGAAGTAAATCAACTTCAGAATGGTTTCAGAAGAACAAAATACACGTTCTGGAGTGGCCAAGTCAAAGTCCAGACTTGAACCCCATTGAGATGCTGTGGCATGACCTCAAGACAGCGATTCATGCCAGACATCCCAGGAATCTGACTGAACTACAGCAGTTTTGTAAAGAAGAATGGGCCAAGATTAGTCCTGATCGATGTGCCAGACTGATCTGCAGCTACAGGAAGCGTCTGGTTAAAGTTATTGCTGCCAAAGGGGGGGCCACAAAATATTAAATGTGAGGGTTCAGTTACTTATTCCTCCCCCTTCTGTCATTGTTTGCATGCTATCCTCATTAAAATATGAAAACCTATAAATGTTTGGGTGGTTTTAGTTAAAGCAGACACTGTTTTTTCATTTGTGTGATTTTGACAAAGATCAGATCACATTTGATGGTGATTTTATGCAGAAATGTGACAAATCCCAAAAGGTTCAGATACTTTTTCATACCACTGTATGGATGCAGTGAGAGAGGACATGTAGATGGTTGGAGTCAGAGTACAAGATGCAGAGAACAGGACAATATGGAAATCAATAATTCGCTGTGGCAACCCCTGAAAAAAGGGACAAAGCCGAAAGAAAAAGAAGAAGAAATTGGCAAACTTAATTACACTACGTTGAAACAACAAAATATGACTGACAAATACAAATATATGCACACAAAATGTGAACAACATGTCTATAAACATGTTGAACGAGTATATTGAACAGTTTTACTTACCTTTTCCAGATCTGCAATTTCAGAACTGAAATTCCTTCCTCCATCCAGGGATTCCTCCTCTTCCAGAGTCCTCTCGTCATCATACTCATGAACTAGCATGTCTGCAGTTGGGTCAAAGTCATGATCTTCTGATGATAAAGATCCAACTGTGTGCAAAGTAGATAGAACAATAATAGATTTATAATACTGACTGTTTAAATGTTTAATTTTACATTACACAAGCTAATTGCTATGGTCTTCTATTTGAAGAATAAATAAAATCTGGTTACATTTTGATCCATAAATTGTCTTTGTGTTTAATTAAATTGAAATGAAAAAATCTATTACTACCTGTTGGGCAAAAAAAAAATTCAACATTTTCACACATGCAGCAGAACCAATATAAAAGTACATTTTATTGTATAATTTTATCACATTTACACCGACTAGGGTTGTGTATTATTGTTATAAAAGCCAACGTATACGACAGGGGTTTCCCTTACCTGGACTTGAACTCCCTAGGGAAGCCTGCAAAAGAATAAATCCAATGGTTGAAAGGGTTGGTTAAAGCTGGTCACAATGTTTACTACCGCTAAGAAATAAGTAAAATCTATAAATAGCCTTTACTATAACAAGGATATATAGTGAAGGGGGCTAACATTAGACAGGCAGCTAATAAGATGAGATGATAAGACCATGAGCAAGACACAGCTTTAAAACCTCGAATTAAATGGAAACTCTGACCACTTTCAGAGTAAGATAAATGGAACACACCAAGAAAGGCAAAAGATGATTGCACTGTCGAAAATTTAACCAGTTAACCAATAAGCTAACCAAAAGCCGACTGTTATACCCTATCCATCGAAAAACGTAAACACTAATTTGGTTTGCGCGCACTACAATCGACAGTGTTAAATTATACTTTCTAAATATGCATCTGTAATTCAACCCAGGCAGTTTGAACTTATTTCTCATTGATCACGAACAGAATGCATCCAGTTATAACATTTTTTATCTGCAAGCTAACGTTAAATTTACATCTCAATTCCCATAGCCGCTACACCGTAGCAGCTGAGAGCGAAGGCGCAGCGGCCTTGTAGTAGAGGATTGGTCCGAACATTTAAGCATATTTTCCAGAATTAAAAAATATATATTTAACTCGAAACACTCTGTATCAATGAAAAAAATCAGTAACCTACTTTATCGATATCATATAAGTGAGAAACTCAAGGTAAACAATAAAACAATATCGATTTAAGATCGATAGCTTTTCCCCTGTTTTCCGTCTTACCTCCGCCATATTGGTACCTTTAGCTTAATGGGCTCGCTCTGCCGCAAGTGCCCGTATGTTCGGTCTTAGCCAATCACAGATCCAGGTGTCCGCTCGAGTCGTGACGCAGTTCAAACCAACCACCGAGAAGGCTAGCGGTAATCGATAATAAGCGGTGAATTCATGGTGAAATGTAATAAACACACGGTATTATATATATAAACAATGAAAAACGGTATTATCTTTCAATTTACAGTCATATAACAAAATATGTCTCACATATACAGTATAAATGTGTCACAGAACGACATTTAACGCATTGCATTACTGAGGATGCCTCAGCTATTTTCTGTGCATGTGGTAAACTGTAAATAGCATCCTGCTGGTGTTAACATTATGTCTTTCTATGTTCGTGTTTAACCTTTGATGAAATATATCCCTTAGCATTGTTAGGGATTTGAATTCAGGCTAGAATGCATAGCATGTCATACAGTATTTTGGTATACACAGGTAGATATTGATAAACTCGCATTTTCCGTTTTTTTTTTAAATTTATTATGGATCCTGACAAGGGATTAATTTTTTTTTTTTTTTTTGTCATGTGGTGACACAATCATGTCTGAATGTTTTTTAATATTGCCTTTTTTACGTGTTTACTAATGTTTGTTTTTATTCATCTATTTTACCGTAGAGTTCTGGAATATAAATATTATTTTTCAACTGTACTACGTGCAGTAGCTGTTCGTTAGAAAAACAACCCGATGGCCCTCCGAGAGGCGGGATGGAAAAAGAGACCAACCTGGACGGATTTCTTGGTAACGACTGGAACGGACACAGACAATGATGACAAGATAATGCTGAGATGCAGCAGAAGTGGAGTGAGTGGCCAGCAGCAACACTGCACTGCATCTGCAGGTCAGACACTAGCAGCCCAAAGCCTGGTCGCTAACCACAGTGCTGAAGGTTCCAACGCTACTGGAGGAAGGCAAGCGGAGGACACAGAAGGACACCTGGCGGATACCTATTCCTCTGAGAGTGGCACCAAGGAGATCACCCCTAGAACACCAACGAACCTCAGACCACAATAAAAACCCCATAACCAGGAACCAGACCAGAGGACAGAGAGGAAAGAACCAGGGCACAGGCAGCCAGTCAAATGTTCCAAAGCCAACGAGGTGGCAGTGTGACAGCAGCTGGACAAAGACCTGGTTAGCATCTTAGAGCACTCACTACGCGGCCAGGTAGTAGCTATACCTGTCTGAGGAGTGTAGAGGTAGGTTTGGAGTAATCGTCGTAAAACAGAACGCAGGGCCAAAGCAGAAGGGAAGAAGAGAGGGAGAGAGACCGAGCAGTTGGTGAAGAGGCGGCGTCAGCTCCGAAAGCAGTGGAGGAAAACAGGCGAAGAGGAGAAGGAGGGCATGAAACCACTGGGAGGAAGTTAGAAGGACCTTGCCAGCCTGCGGAGGGCAGAGCACATCTGCAAATGCAGAACACGGACGGAAAAAGAGAAGAGCAACTTCTTCAAAAACCCCTTCAAACATGCAAGACAGCTTCGAGAGAAGAAGCGGGAAGCTGGGGATCACACAATCGGAGCTGGAGAATTATTTCAGAGAGCAATACGGAGCGACCCAGCCAGATCAGCTCCTCTGGGGTCACCTGGTTATGTTCCTCGCCGAGCCCCCCCATTGTTCCCATTTGATGTTGCTCTCCCTAAACTCAATGAGGTCGCAGAAGTTGTCCGGAAAGCGAGAGCAGCCACAGCCCCAGGCCCCATCGGTATTGCCCAAGGATTCAGAGACTTCTGTGGAACCTCATGAGGGCCTGGAAGAACAAAGGGCAGTCACAGTTTTTATCCCGAAGGAGGAGATATCCACCACCATCAGCCAGTTCAGGAGCATCTCACTCCTGAATCTCAAAAGGAAGATCTTTTTCTCCGTACTGGCCAAGAGGCTGACCAACTGCCTGACTAGCAACAGGTACATTGACACCAGCTGCCAGAAAGCAGGTGTGCCAGGATTCCCAGGGTGTGTGGAACACTCCGCAGTTATATGGGAGCTGATCCAGAGAGCGAAAGTCCGTCCCTCACCAACTTATCAAGTATGCTCTGGACTTCTTCCACATCCCTGGCTCCATCAGAACTTTGACAGCCAAGTACTTTGAAGGCCTCAAGATGTGCTACACCCATCAGGATTACACCACAGGATGACAACAGCTGGAGGTAGGTATAGCCATGGGATGCTCGATCTCTCCCATTCTTTTTGTTGCAGCCATCAAGCTCGTCCTAATATGAGCTAGATGGCGACGATGGTCGGAGGAGTAAAGCTACCATCAGGGCAGAGGCTACCACCAGTGGGAGGATATATAGGTGACATCACCACCATTCTCCAGACAACAGCATGTACAACAAGACTGCTGAAGAGGATCGATTAACTTGTGGGGTGGGCAAGGATGAAGATCAAACCTGCAAAATCGCGCAGCCTCTCCCTGAGAAAAGGAGTCAGAAGCAATAATACCACATTTGTCGTTGGTGGTGAAGAGATCCTTCTGCTGGCAAGCCAACCCATTTGCAGCCTTGGGTGTACCTACACTGCAGATCTCTCTGACAAGAAGATGGGGGAAACAGTGAGGAAGCAACTGGCAGATGGCCTGGCCAGGATCAATCAGAGCCAGCTGCCCAGCAAGTACAAGGTATGGCGTTACCAGTTCATAATGTACCAAAAGGTAATGTGGCCTCTGAAGATGAGTGAGGTCTCCTCATCGGTGGTGGACAGGATGGATAGGCTGATGCTGAGATGCCTATCAGATGTAGGCGTCTTTGGCAGAAATGCACTGCAGCTGCCACTGCAATGCATAGGCCTGGGCTACAAACAAGAGAAGGCCCGGATGGTGCTGGAGCTGAGAGATTCCTCTGATAAACTGGTGAGAGCAGCTGCCCCCCAAGTACAAACAGAGAGGAAGTGGAAAGCGATCAGCAGGCCTCAAATGGAGCAAGACTTCCCTCTTCTGGTCAAAGGCCTCTAAAGAAGAGCGGAAAGCCATGGTGGTGGCACAGATGACAAGGACCATCCTGCCTGTACTCTATTCTTCACCTCTCATCTCCTCTGCTCTGAACAGTTGATCCTAAGTACCTAAACTCCTACACCTTCACCACCTCTGCTCCTTGTAACCTCACTATTTGACTGTTATGCCACTTGTTTACACACATGTACTCTGTCTTGCTACGACTGACCTTCAATCCTCTTCTTTCTAGTGCAAACTTCCACCTCTCTAGGTTCTCTTCTAGCTGCTGCCTACTTTCACTACAGATCACAATGTCATCTGCAAACAACATAGTTCATGGGGACTCCTGCCTGACCTCCACCGTCAATCTGTCCTTCACCAAAGCAAACAAGAAGGGGCTCAGGGCTGATCCTTGATGTAGTCCCACCTTCACCTTGAAGTCTTCTGTCCTTCCAACAGCACACCTCACTACTGTTGTACTATTCTCATACATGTCCTGCACCAATCTAACATACTTCTCTGCCACTCCTGACTTCCTCATACAAAACCACAATCCTCCCATGGCACTTTGTCATATGCCTTTTCTAAATCTACAAATACACAATGTAGCTCCTTCTGACCTGCTCTGTACTTCTCCATAAGCATCCTCAAGTCAAGTATTGCATCTGTGGTACTCTTACTAGGCATGAAACCATACTGTTGTTCACAAATCTCCATTTCCTGCCTCAACCTAGCTTCAACTACTCTTTCTCAAATCTTCATTGTATGACTCATCAACTTTATCCCTCTGCAATTGTTACAACTCTGCACATCACCCTTCTTATAAATTGGCACCAGAACAGTTTTCCTCCACTCATCAGGCATCTTGTCAGTCTCTAAAATTCTGTTAAACAACCTAGTCAGGAAATCTACCGCCACTTCTCCTAAACCCTTCCATATTTCCACAGGTATGTCATCAGGACCAACTGACTTTCCACTCTTCATCCTCTTCAGGGCTTTTCTAACTTCATCCTTTCTAACCTGATCTACCTCCTTCCTACTAGTCTCTGGTTCCTCGTTTCTGCTTTCCCTTTCATTTTCCTCATTTAACAACTCCTCAAAGTATTCCTTCCATCTTCTCAGCATACTTTCCTCACTTGTGATTACATTCCCTTCTCTGTCCTTAATCAACCTCACCTGCTGCACATCCTTCCCAGCTTGGTGTCCTGTATCGCCAATCTATACAACTCCTTTTCTCCTTCCTTTGTGTCCGAACTCTCGTACAACTCCTCATATGCCTTTTGTTTGGCCTTGGCCACTTCCCTCTTCACCTCCCTTGTCCTCTCTTTGTACTCCAGTCTGTTCTCTTCTGTTCTGTCACTGTCCCATCTCTTCTTTGCTAATCTCTTTCTCTGCACACACTCCTGGACCTCATCATTCCACAACCAGGTCTGTTTGTCCTCCTTTCTCTGCCCAGAGGAGATACCTAGAACCTTCCTACCTGTCTCCTTAATCACTGCAGCTGTAGTCTCCGAATCATCTGGGAAATCCACAACACGGCCCAGAACTGCCCCTACTTTCTTCCTGAAGTCTTCACCACGTCTCTTTCCTTCATTTCCACTACTTGATCTTCTGCTCTGTCTTCACTCTCTTCCTTTGTCATTTCGCACACTACCATGCAATGTTGTTTGGCTACACTCTCACCTGCCACCACCTTACAGTCATTAATCTCCCTCAGATTACATCTTCTACATAGAATATAATCTCTCTGTGTGGACCTGCCTCCACTGTTCTACGTCACCCTGTGTTCCTCTTTCTTTTGGAAATCATATCAGCCAGTTCTCTACTTTTCCCTGTAATTGTACCTACATTCAGAGTTCCAAACTTCAGACCAACACTTCTATTCTTCTTCTTTTCTCTTTTTGTCCGAATCAGTCGTCCCCCTCCTCTTCTTTGTCTACGACCAACAGTAGTCCAATTTCCACCAGTACCCTGTAGGTCAACAGCACCGTTGGCGGTCGTTGTTAATCCGGGCCTTGACCGATCCGGTATGGAAATTGTTTTAGTGATTCACATATTTGATTTGGCTAAATGTTTTACACCGGATGCCCTTCCTGATACAACCCTCACCATTTATCCGGGCTTGGGACCGGCACTATACTATCAC